CAAAAAGAAAAATACAATATTCCTGTTTCCATTTTCCCTAGATCAGCCTCAGCTCTTTCTGGATGAAATCAGTCTCTCAGGGGACATCAACCTCACAATTTGAGAAACAATGCTCTAGATAGGAAACAAAAGAAAAACCGGGAACCATTTGTTTTTCCACTTGGGAGAGTTAGACTGTACAACATCCTTTTCATTTGCAAGCCAAGTTGCTATTCAGAACTGTAAATTAACTCTGCATAACACAAGTGATTTCAGGTTCAGATAATGAAGAAAAAATCTTGGGTTCCTTTAAGCAACCTCTGAGACAAAACTAAAGAACCAGGATATCCTAGACAGATAATTTCAGTTTGTGACAAATTCTAAAAACTTTGTAATATAGAGAGCAAATAAATAAGTAAATAACATATAAATCAGGGAGCATTAATAAGTGTGCATAATAATGCTTATGTATTACATGATACAAGATTCTTAAAACACTTCAAGTAGCTTAAGATTTAGCAATCTAAAGGGCCCAATGCTTGCATTTGTAAATAAAACTGTACTGAAACACAGCCACACACTCTTGTTCACCTAATGCCAAGTTGTCTAGTGATGACAGTAACTGTACGATGTGAAAAATCAAAAATATTTGGCCTTTTACAGAAAAAGTTTGTAATCTCTGCTCTAAACCAGTGGGTCCTGAACTTTAATACTAAGAAAAAGGAGGACAGCCTCTTAAAAAAAGTTTCCTTGAACTCTTCCTTCACAGATGATAACTGGGTAGGCTGGGGCGGTGTGTGTTATCTTGCCTTTATAACACATTAACAAGTGGCTGGTATATGAACTGAACTGTCACCTCATATAATCACAGTGGCCATTAAAAGTCTAAATTCTATAATAGTCTAGCTGTCAAAACAACAATAACAACAAAAACTGAGGCATAAAACAGGAACAAGGTACATCTTGATTTATTTGGAATTCCTGGTGACAAAGAAACCACAGCTGGTTGCTCTAATCATTGAACAATTCTTCAGCACCTCCACCTGACACTAACTCACAGTCAGAGCTGGATACCACACAGGGACCTGTAGCAACCAAAGGCAGTTGGGTTGCAGGTAAAAACCCAGGCTGTTCTTTAGATAAACTATAAATCACATTTTTACAAAAGCCAAGGTACATGCAGCTAGAATTCAGGACTTCCCAGAACAACAGTCATAAACTTAAGTGTAATGTTTCACAACAAATTATAATGTTGAAAATTTCTGGCACAAACCGTTTATAATCCCATGGTTTAATCAAAAGATGAATTCCTTTATTTCATATACATAAGCAGAAATAGCTAAAAATTAAATTCCTTGAGCATTCTAACAAATATGTGTACAGTTAACAGAAAATAGAGGATGTGAACTGATTTATCTAAGACAGGCTGAAATAGAACAAACAAGGACAATATGAAAATCACTGAAAATTTTCAGAATGGCTTTCACTTGGACACTGTAGAAAACAGACGTACAAGGCAAAGATTTGGGGAAAACTTTTCTTTGCTGATTTATTGGAAGAGGACACACCAGCTTTTCTCTTTATTCAATACTTACTGAGAATGCACAATGCTCAGAGGCACTGTGTTCCAATGAGAAGGCATTAATTAGGGACAGATGAGTCAACAGGGTCCCTACCTGCAACAAGTTTACAATCTAGAGAGAGGGCATGTACGTAATTACAATGCTGCCTGCGTATGAGTTCAGCTGTACACGTTAAATACTGACAGCACAGAAAGTGAGCTGAGGAAACATGCTTGGAGAAATGCCCAAGTGGCCTTCGTGAAAAATAATTACTTTGAGACTTCAAGGAATTGAGTGGGTGAAAGCAGTCCCTAGGAAGCCTGCAAGGGATTCTAGCATGTCAGGGTCCTGAGGAGAGGCAGAGATAGAGAGTTTACAAATGGGTCATTTTGATGAACAGAGTGCACAATGTGCAAAGAGACAAGATGGGCAGCTGGACAAGCTCCCTTCTGAAGAGCATGTCAGGCATGGTCGTAAAACCAGGTCTTTACTTTTCAGCTTTAGGGAAATGGTTAAGAATTTCAACTTCAAAGTTAAGCACACAGGTTTGTATTTTTTTTTTTTTAAATCACTTTGGCACCCCTACAAGGAGGAAAGAGAAGGCTAGGGATTTTGTTTAACAAAACTCTGTATTCATGGCAATGATTAGAAGAAGAGGTAGAGTCAAATAGAGGTTAAAAAAAAAGTTACTGTTTTAACTACATTTATAAAGAAAAAGCAAAAAGAAATGGAATGATACATTGCATTCTAGATCTTAGGAAATATAATCCTATTTATCCAATAAAGGTAGGTGCTAAATGGCAGTTGAAGGTGGCTTATGGCCCACGTAGGCAGAGATGACTGTCAAGTCACAGCACTCAAACCTTGGATAAATCATAAATTCACTTGGTTTCAGTGATTCACCTGTATAATATAGGGTTCAGGAGTTCCTGACCTGTATCACACACAGAAGCATATTTCAATGTAATTGATTTCTTTAGCGTTGTAACCATTTAAACTAATTAATCAAATTTAATTTTAATTAAAGTATTTAATTTTTTTTAAATCCCTTTATTCTGAAAAGAATTAATGGGATTAAAAGAAGTTAAGAAGCACTGCATGATCTTTAGGATCACTTAAAAACTTTCAAATGATAGGATCTTGGTCATTCAATATAGAACGAAAAGCGAATGCTTGTAGTTGAATATAAATGCAAATGAGAAAAAGGAAAAGCGCAATACTACAGACCCAAGAAAAATTAGATGCAGGCGTTCAGTTGAGCCAAGTTGAATATTTCCTGCATTTTGCCTTTGCATTTCCCCTTCTGTCTCTTTTTCCTCCTGTTGGCTTAGGTTAATACAGGCATTAAATGACTATGTGATGGCTTTTTCCTTTTGTATCCCTAAACCCACAACGTATGATTTTTAGGAGAAAAAAAGCTGATTAAAAGGCAATGGAATGGCCCAGCGGCGTGGCCTAGCGGCTAAACTCCTCGCCTTGAATGTGCCAGGATCCCATATGGGCACTGGTTCTAACCCCGGCAGCTCCACTTCCCATCCAGCTCCCTGCTTGTGGCCTGGGAAAGCAGTCGAGGACGGCCCAATGCCTTGGGACCCTGCACCTGTGTGGGATGCCCGGAAAAAGTTCCTGGATCCTGGCTTTGGATTGGCATAGCATCAGCCGTTGCACTCACTTGGGGAGTGAATTATCGGACGGAAGACCTTCCTCTCTGTCTCTCCTCCTCTCTGTATATCTGATTTTCCAATAAATAAATAAATAAATCTTAAAAAAAAAAAGCAATGGAAAAGTTTAGGTCTATGGCCAGAACACCCTAAATACATTCAATCTTGTCTGATTTGGGGAAATAAATAGGTTGGCTGTCATCAGCAGTTGGATGGTGGACAGCTTGTGAAAAATATTATATAAAATAATAAACTGGCAAACTTGGTAATCAAATAAAGAAGAAAAAGCAAAAAGCCATTTTGATAATGTTGAGAGCCACAATTATTTGGGAAAGAGACTTAGTAAATAAAAAAACAAAAACTTTTTTTTACTCTGAAATAATTGGTTTTAAAAGACACATATAGAACAAAAAATAGTTGTTCCCATCTTACAATATATCTCTCCATGTCTTTATCATGTTACTCTAAAGAACTCCAGTTTATATGATATGAAATTTAAAAGTCACTGTTAGCATTTAATCCAAAATGCACAAAGTTAGTTGTAGGAAGAAACCCAGTTTGACAAAAGCAAAAAACAAACAAAAAAAACTAATGCGTTTTAAAGTAATTACAAACATATCAGTATCAAAAAACATATAATTACAATATAACTAAAATATTATATTAAATAATTGTTTAATCCACACACATTTTATTTTAATCAAAGCATAACCATCAAAATGCTTCTGATTAATCAACAAAAAGCTCACGATATCACCTGTTCAGTGTTCAAAAGAACATCTTTCACAGGTTTGAAAAACCAAAGATTGCCCTAATATTATATGTAATAGCCTTTTAAATTACATATGTTTAGTATTTAAAACCCTTTCAATTCTACACATGAATCTACAAAGAGGTAGTCAGCCAACTATTCACATGAACAACAATGAAAGGCCTTCAAAGCCACAAAAGCAAATCTAGGCAGTTCCAAAAATAGCATCTACATTAAATTTACAGGAGTTTCATCTCTTAGCAACAACTGGAAGAGAAAAAAGGCGTTACCACTCTTAGGCAGTTTTGCTGGAGAAAAAAAGACAAAAACAACAACAAAAAAACCAAGGCATTAGTCTCCTTTCCTGCAGGAGACTTATCACTCTAAGAGATCTGCATGGGAAGGCAGGTTCCTGCAGAGACAGGCTCTCCCACACCTCCCTAGCAATTTACATATCTCTGAAGCGCTGGCAGGTAACAGAGGCACCTCAGGCAATCTGTAGTGACACAGTGCCCGGACTGACATGTGGTTTCTTTTAATAACTATCTGACAAAGAAAACTTAGGTGTTATGTTTAGAAAACAGTCACTTTTTAGTAAAACACTGTCTTGCAGGCCCCAAGTCCAAGAATTGGCTTCAGAAAAAAAAAAAAAAATCTGTGCCAAGTAAACATCACAGCTCCTTACAAATACATGTAAATCTCTTCACTTTTAGTCCAGGCAACACAGATTATATTCATATGGTCTGTGGATTTAAAAAAAAAAAAAAAAGCATTTCTAGAGAAACTACCATGCTTCATTCAGGAAAGCAAAATATTTACCAGGTATAAGACATGTAGATATTATTCATCATCATCTTTTATTATGAAAAACATGCCCTATCTTAAATAATCCAACTCGAGACAAAATACCAATCAGTAGGGGGCTCTGGCTTTCAAAAGAATTTTCCAAAACATGACTTCTATAAAATCTGCAGGAATCCCCTTCTGTGTTTAAAAATAAAGGTGGATTTACAGCTTATTCCAGAGCATGAAGAACTAACCACTCACCTTCATTTCCACAGCAGCAATTTCTTGGTCATAATGACCCATCAGATTGGGGAAAAATGTCATGTTGTAGGTCATTTTCATACACCTGGGAACCGTAATGGGTTCACAAGTGAAGAGACTGTGCCCCCTTACCAGGGTTAGAGACACACATATCAACACAAATGTAAGCGTTTCCATGTTCTTCAAATCCGTGACATCACCATGGATCTCGGTTTAACTGAGCTTGGCATGCTCAGGAGATTCCCATCCACAGGCAAAAATGTTCAAATTCCTCATCTCATTATTTTACCATTTTGAAGGCAGCTGGTTTCCTGAAATTGAGTTCTGGGTCAATTACTGTCAAAACAATCAAGAGGGTGAAAAAGCATTTGTCATAACCGCCAATGCGGATAGCACGGTGCAGATTTTCATCTTGGGACATGAACTAAGGGAAAATGATGGAAAATTCCATCCTGGCCAGGCAGTCACCCACCTGCCCTGGCCAAAGGCCACACTGTCTTCGCTTGTAATCCCAAAGCTCGTGACTGTGAAATGACACTATCATTTGCTGAGAAGTCTCATTTGGTGGCAATCTTTCTGTCCTACGGAACGTAGGCTTAAAGGTGGGCAGAGAATGCGTGATTTGGAGCAAACCAACGCTGGTGGTCGAGACTAAATGAACAAGAATTGATAGTCACAACATCCAAAGACCCGTGTTAGAAATCTTATTACACAAGAAAACTGAGGGGCCCTGAGCAATTTCTTCAGACCTAATGCATTCTTAAACTTTTTAGAGATTCTACAGAGCCAAGTTTTGTAAGAGTCTTCTGGAGACATGCCTTTCCTGCTTTTCGAAAGGTCAACGGAAGGGAGACTTCTAAGCGCGAGTAAGGGGTGCGGTATTCATCTGCAGGCCGAGGGACAGGGATGGCAAGCCCCCCAGGGCCAATGTGTCCTGGTAGGGCCACTGAAGTTCATGGGGAAAGTCGGGCTGGGGGCCAGAATAACGGGTAAGCGCCCCCTCTCTCCTCTCAACGCCCTCCCGTGTCCCCTTCGAGTGCCCCACACCTGGACACCTGTTCCAGGCCTAGACCCGGGCAGCAACGCCCCGGGCCTGCAGCGCGCCAGCAAGCGTCGCCTTTCGGGAGCTGCCCCCCACTTCTCAGGAAACTTGGGCTGCTGCCGGCCGGCCTGTCCCGCCGTCGCCTTCCCCGCACCTGCGGCTCCCAGCGCGTCCCGCACACGCCTTAGCCCGGCACCCTCAGCTTCTGAGCCGCCCACCCCTACCCGGACGTGGCCCCCCGTCCTGTAGCACCCTTCGAGGCCCACCCCGCGCCCCTCAGGACCCGCCCGGCCGCCCGCCAGCTCAGTCGGGGCGGGGAGAGCCTCACCTCAGACGGCGGTCGAAGGTCTCGCTCCCTCCCGGTCCCCGTCCAGCCCACGGGCCCCCACGACCCCAGACGACTCCCGCGAGCGTCCGGGCTCGAGGCGTAGGGGGAGCCGCACCGGGAGCGAGAGCTGAGCGATCCCGCGAGACTGCGCCGCCAGGTCGGGCGGGCAGGTCCGGGCTCGCGGCGGCGGCGGCAGCGGGACTAGTCCCGGGGCGGGCCCCGCCCGCGCTGCGCGGCCGACCTGGCTCGGAGACACCGGAGACGGCGGCCCGGGCGGGGCGGGTGACCGTCCGAAGCCGGGGACAGCCTGGGGCCAGGAAGTCCCCTTCGCCTGGCGGACTGGGAGGGCACCTGCCGCACAGGTCCTCAGGGCTTCCCTGCTGGTGAGAAGGACCCCTTTCAAAAGAACCTAGTAATCTGTGGCTGTCGGGACCTGAGAATCCTTTCCACAGAGCCAGTTTGTTCTGTAAAGTTAGTTGTTGACCCAAGTTAGAACGGGAGCAACATTCTGGATTACTATCCATAAAACCAACAAAACCAAAACCAAAAACACCTTTTACTTATCCGGGGGGGCTTGGTCACATACTTACAGCACTGGGGACAGTGACTTTCCGATTTTAATGGATTCTGCAGTTTTACTGATGCAAAATCTTAGTAGAAATGTCACCTGTTAGGATCGGGATTTGTGGCTTAGTGGTAAATCTGCCACCTGACATTGGCATCTCGTAAGGGTGCCAGTTCATGTAGCAGCTGCCCCCACTCCAGATCCAGTTTCCTCCTTTACCAAAACCTGGGAAAGCAGCAGAGATAAGTGTTTCGGCCCCTGTGCCCAGATTGGAAACCCAGAGGAAACTCCTGGTTCTTGACTTTGGCCAGCCCAGCCTTGGCCTTTGCATTTTGGGGAGTGAACCAGAGAGTGGAAGACTTCTGTCTCTGTGGCAGTGCCTTGCAAATAAATAAATTAAAAAAAAAAAAAAAGTTCAGCTTAATTTTCAGCATAGAATCTGCCATACTTCCCCAACAGTAAGGTAAAAACATGTAGACAAGGTGGTATGATCCTGCATTGCTTCTTTTGGGGATACATTCTGAGAAGCGCAGTTAGGTCACCTAATCCTCGAATGAATATTACAGAGCAAATTGAAACACGGCTATGGGGCTGTGTGATGTGCTAAGGGTGGAGAAGATAATTTTGTACAGTTCTGCCAAGGTAACCACAAATAGAATGTAAACTTCAGTAAATCTGTAGCAGGCTAATTTTTTTTAAAGATTTATTTATTTTTATTGCAAAGTCAGGTATATATAGAGAGGAGGAGAGAGACAAAGATATCTTCCATCCGCTGATTCACTCCCCAAGTGATCGCAACAGTCGGTTCTGCGCCAATCCGAAGCCAGGAGCTCTTCCAGATCTCCCACACAGGTGCAGGGTCCCAAGGCTTTGGGCTGTCCTCAACTGCTTTCCCAAGCCACAAGCAGGGAGCTGGATGGGAAGCAAGGCTGCCGGGATTAGAACTGGCACCCACATGGGATCCTGGTGCTTTCAATACCAGGACTTGAGCCGCTAAGCCACAGTGCTGGGCCCAGCAGGCTAATTTTTTTAAAAAAGATTTATTTATTTATTAGAACGTCAGGTATAGAGAGAGGAGGAAAGACAGAGAGGAAGATCTTCTGTCCGATAATTCACTCCCCAAGTGAGTGCAACGGCTGATGCCATGCCAATCCGAAGCCAGGATCCAGGAAATTTTTCCGGGCATCCCACACAGGTGCAGGGTCCCAAAGCTTTGGGCTGTCCTCGACTGCATTCCCAGGCCACAAGCAGGGAGCTGGATGGGAAGTGGAGCTGCCTGGATTAGAACCGGCACCCATATGGGATCCTGGCACATTCAAGGTGAGGAGTTTAGCCGCTAGGCCACGCCGCTGGGCCCAGGCTAATTTTTAAGTTGAGAATTTTGCATGCTTCTACTCTCCTCCATGATGTCATAAATATCCAAGTGATCCTTGACAGAGAAAAGGTTCCCCAACCCTGAAGCCTGTTGCTCCCACACCACAAACCTATGCAATGTATTACTTTTCTTTAGGCAACTGTACCACAAAGGAGATAAAGATACTACTTGAATAGGGCACTTGCCACAGATGGAGCTTGAAGACAGGACGTTGCTCTGAATGAGTGAGTGGGGAGTGCGTATGACTGTAGACTTTTATACACATGGGACACTTAGGGTTTATTCAGTAAATACAGTTAAACTTTATATAGTTTTCAACTCATAACAGCTTCAAATGAAAACATTGTACAACTGTACAATATCTTTACCCTTATTTTACAAACATCTTCTGTATCAGTTTTTCTTTTACTTTTAGATTTTTTCATTGAAGCTAAAACATATGTGAAATTGCTGCAAGTGAGTTTCCAGAGTGAAAAAGACAAAACTAAGATACGCCCTCACACATACACACTCAAAAACACAGACACATACACATCGGCCTTGGTCTACATAGGGCCAAGCTATTCAGCCCCTGTCTTCCATGGTACCTTTTGTCCTGCTGGAAGGCCTCCAGTCAGTAACCTGCAGGGAACTGTCATCTCCTGGGATAACTTCTGTCCTGAGGCTTTTGATCAGGTGTCACTTTTTTCAGAAATGTCTATGAAGGTCTGTTTGTTTTGTTTCTTGTCCTTCCTTTGCCTCCTATGTGAGCAGGTTATGCACCATAAACATTCTTCTCAGTTTATGGAAACCTTTCAGAATCGGAGTTCATGTTTTTAGACTTTCCAAGAAGCGTGTGCTCTGGTTTGGATATGATTTAAGTGCAAAGGTTTGTGTTGGAAATCAATCCCCATTGGTGTAATAAGAGGTTCACCCTTAGCTCAGACTATGATGTTAGAGGTGGGGTGGTTGGAAAGTGGTTAGGATTAGATAAATCCATCATGGTGGAGTCCCCAGGATTGAATACTGGATGCCACATAAGAAGGGAAAAAGATCAGAAGGAGATAACAGGTGATGCCTTTCTCTTTCTATGGGATATCCTGTACCACCTCAGAACTGAGACAGCAACGATCCAGTAAGACAACACCCTTGGTTCTCGCACCTGCAAAAGTGGGAGCCAAAGCAAACCTCTTTTCTTTATAAGGTTGTCCAGCCTTGGTCATTTTGTTACAGTAACAAAAAAACAAGGGAAAAGCATGTTCACTGTGAATTGTGTTTTGGAGGGATCTTCTTTTCCCTCTTGCGGTTTCCTATTCTCATGTCTCTTCTTTAGCTTCTTAGTCCTGTCTCAATTCCTCTATAATCATACGGGATCGTCATAATATATGTGATTTATCATTGACCAAAATGTCATTATGCAGCACATGATTGTGGTTAAAATTACGGTTCACATTTATCAAGCACCGACTAGGTTAGCATAGGGCTAAATCCTTTAAATGCATACATCTAATTTACGGGACCTTCCTATGAGGTAGGTAGAATTCTACGTGAAGCAAGTAAACCTGTGGAAGTGCTTCACTTAGAAAAAAATGCTACTACATTTTACATAAAAGCTATTCTCATCTCAAAAATCATCCTGCAGCACAAAATAAAAGTGATATTTGAGTACCTGGGATGAAGGACCTCAGAAGTCAGAGTATTAAAATTTACTAAACATCAACATGGGGGAAAAGGCTTGAATCTGGAGCTGTTAATTCCTCTTCATTTTTACCAACAGTTTGGGACTGATGTTAGGAGAAAGTTAGTGCTGAAGACATGTTAGCACCATTTAGAACTGGACAAGTTATGTGTGGCACAACACATTTCTATTTGGGAAGAATATTTCTCCTTAGGTTTCTACATAGGAAGAGCATTTCCACTTCTTACTTAAGTCACAAAACATTCTGTGATCAACCTTGTGTATTTGAATTTTGAGATGACATTTTAAAGTGATACTGGTTGAAACTCAAATTAACTCATGTTATTTGATTTGGGAGGGCAAAATGGCAA